ATAATTGGCTATAATACAGGGCAAGGGGTTGGTGGAATAAAATTGCAGTAATAAATTAATAATAGGTAATAGTAAATTTCCAAGGAAGGATGTAATCTGATAAGTTGGTATTTAGACAAGGTGATTCTGAATAATGACATTCAAGTGGCCAAATTCCTTGAAAATTAATAGCAACTAATTTTGCTATCTAGTGGAAGATTTCATAGCAGGAGTAAAGCAGAATGGTGAACTTGTGAGTATTTTGTGAATTCATTACAGGAAAAAAAAAAGGCATGTATTTGAGTTCTAAGTGATAGGTGGCAGGGGCAGAAGAGAACCAGGAGACAAAGACAAAGAGAAAGGGGCAGTGATGAGGATATAGCAGTTGGAAAACATAAAGGAGAAGAAACAGAAAATGTGATGACTGAATTCTTGGAATAAACTTAAGTGTAAAGGGATAAATAATGGGATTTTTTTTTTCAATGAGGAAATACCTGGAAATGTCTGAGAGCAAATAGAGTCAATGAGGTTTTAGGTATTAGGTCTGATAAGTATTGGGGCTGAGGCACAGGTGGTAGGAAGCAGAACAAGATCTCTGTTCTTATTGAAGATTAAAGACAGCTCCTCGTCCCCACTCTAACACCAGAAAAAAACAAGGTAATTATAAGAAAAGGATAAAGATAGTAAAGAAATCCATAAAAATGGAAGTGTCCCTTTCTTTGTGAGAAAATAGGTGGACGGATGATATGCAAGGAAGGCATAGGACAGCTGGGACTGGGGGCATGGAGAGAGAGAAAAGGTCTAAAATAGATCCCACAGGGAGAGAGCTGGGGAGTACAGGAAAGACAATTAAAAAGACTGCCAAATAGCAGCAGAGAGCAGATTGAAGTTTGAAAGCACCAAGTCCTAATGAGCCAAATCTGCAATGCTGTTTGCCTCTAGCAGTGTTCTCTCCCCTGGGAGAAGAGACAAAGAGAGCAAGAGTTAGAGGTAACCTATGTTTAGGAATTTGCTAGCTGAGCAAAGAAGCAAAGGTTATTAATGAAGAGGCAAAGATTATGTTCCTTGTTGAGAGTGAAAATCCAATTCATTTGAAGCAAGGAAGGAAACAACCCTTGATTCCAAGGAATTTGGCAAAGTGATTATTATGAGTCCTGATGAAAGTTGAAACTTTCATGGAAATGAGAAAGCTTTTAATTTTTCAACACCCCCCACCATCACTACTCCTGCTGAGACTACAGGATGGGAAGTGGAAAAATCTAGATGAGATGTTATCAGGGGACTACAGGAAAGTGAGCAATGGATATGTGTGTGTTAAGAGATGGGAGGAATTAAAATAAATGCCAAAATGATAACTGTCATAAGCTTTATGTATTTCCAAGACAGTAGGCTCATTCATTTTGAAAGAAACTGAATGCAAATCATTAGGGAAAAAAGTGTTTTTTCTTCATGTATACACTTTGAGATTACTGTATTTTTCCTTTCATTTAACTATAGACTTTTTTTCTTTATCAAATCAAAATGCTCCCTATAAGTACAATAAAACCACCTAACATCAGAGGTGGCCCTTTCACCTATCTGAGGTCTCACCTAGCACTTCACATCTGTCACTGTGCCCCAACCATCTTGCCCTTCTTAGTTTCTGGAATAAATCAAGATGATTCTCAATTTAAGTCCATTGTACAAGCTTCCAAGCCTTCACCATGTCCATCATGGTTTCCCTTTAGTGGGAGCAGATAATTCTTGAAAGCCAGGTCTTTACTTGTACAAGCAATCTTTCCCTAACCATCAGCCAATAGTAGCCTAGGATGCATTCCTTATCACCTTGGTTTGTCTTGATTTTTATCCTTAACATGTTACTGTTGGCTGATATCTTTTTTTTTTTTTTAAGATTTATTTATTTATGCATATAGAGTTGGGGTATAGGCCAGAGGTGCAGGGGTGGTGAGAGGATTCACCAGAGACAGTAGGAAACATAACAGGCCGACCAACGAAGTACACTGCTTAGGGAAGCAGCGAGCTGGTCAGGAGAGGTCTGCCATGCCATGTGGATCACCTCCGGGGTGGGGATCGAACTCATACTGAAGTGGCTTTGTGTCTTAGTGCTGTGCTTTAGCCCACTATGCCACCAGGGAGGGCCCTATTTTGTTTTGTTTTGATATCTGCTTTTTCCAGTTAAAATACGACCCACATGAGGAAAGAGAGGCTCCCTGTCTTGGTAACCACTATATCAACAGCATTTCAAATACAAATACTTCAAGCATGCAGAATATATGCAAATACTTGTCTAATACTTATCTAATGAACAAATGAACGAAATATAAAAACTTAGGATTTTAATGCAAAATATGATAGCAAGTTATATCAAATAAGTTTATTCACAAAGCTATGTAGCAAAATAAACATAAGAAAATATGGTATTATTGCTGTCTCTAAAACACCTCCAAAATTGTCTTTTCCTAAGCATTTTATACTATGAAAAAGTAAAATTTATTGTACATGGAAGGAGAAAGAAGACACATCCTTAAAACTGAGTTCAATAAATTTTAGTAAAACTTTAAATGATCAAATACACAGAAAGTTGTTTATGTTATTTTTACCAGCACAGAGGTGTCTGGAAATAGATTTTATGGAATTTGAAATGTGCAAGACTTAACGAGGGCATATACCCAAACTGTCAGCTAAATTTCCCACAAAATAAATTCTATGTTATGAGTTTTTTTTAAATTATTTGTCTTACTATACTATATGTAGAAAGCAAGTTTAATTAAGAGGTTAGAGGAAGCCTCCTCTAATCTTTTCTTTTTAATGCCTATCTCTAAACAAGAAATCTAATCTCCAGTTAACTTTTAACATTTTCTGTTTAAAGCATTCTCTACTATTTCATTGTTTAAAAAAGTGTGGTAGAAAATGTTAAAATAAAATCTTTAGTCCTAGTGAATAATTTAATGCTACAAAACTTCTAATTACCATATATAGGACATAAGCCTCTGAAATATGAAAAAGACTGATGAGTTATGAATGCACAGCTAAAAACAAATTGCTTCAACATTCCCTTAAAAGGCCCAAGTAGAAGCCAAAAATAAAAATCAACAAAAACTAAAGAAATTTCAGAAAATCCAAATTAGGAGACATTCTACAAAACACCTGACCTGTACTTTTCAAGTTAATGTCAATAATACAAAGTAAGAACTATTTCTTTTGGAGTCTGAGAAGACAAGTAAGTAAATTAAGAGCAGAGTCCTTAAACTGGTATTGAACCAGAAAAAAATACCCATCATAGAAATTACTACAAAAGTGATGAACATGTCTTATGGCTTATGTTGTTGTATTTTATCATTAAGTTTCCTGTTTTTTGTTTGTTTGTTTTTTCCCTTAATCACACTGTGATTTTGTTGGAGAATGTCCTCATTTTTGAGAAATACAAACTATGGCAAAAGTAGGAAAATGGATGGTTGGATGGATGGATGGATGGACTTGGACAGATGGATGAAAGGAAGGAAAGGGAGTGAGAGAGGGAACAGAAAGAAAAATAAAGGGGGAAGAAAAGAGTAATAAGGTGATCAAGTTAAACAGAAATCTTACTCATGTCGGTTATTAGAATAGTAATAAATAATTGGCAAAGTATATATAAGTAGGTGTCACAAATAATTATATAAGTAGCAAATCAATAAAAACTGCAACATCTGTTTGGCTCCAGACAGACTCAGTAAATGAATACTATCTTAATAAATGAATATTAACTGAAACTAAATTGTAAAGATTTGTTGAATTAAAAGCTTTTGAAGTTTTATTTAATTTTTACCTATATATTGATGAAGATTATATTATTTTAGATTGAATATATAACCTAATAAAATCAATTTATTGTATGTTAGAAATGTAATATGACACCATTTCAATTTATGGTAAAAAACTTAATGGAAGATTTACACACATTAAAGAAAAGGAAAAAAAGCTTACAGAGAATCAAATTTCAAATAGGTGCTAGTTAACACCAATGGCTTGCCTCCCCCTACTCCTTGAGCAAAGCTTTAACCAAGATGGGTCTCTTATAATGACATGGCTCTCATCTTGGCATAAGGTTTGCATGTATATATGTTACTGACAATATTAACTTCAATACTGCTATAGCTAATAACTATAACATTTTAAGGTTGGATGTACTGGTTAAAAAATGATAGCTAAAATATTATTTTCTCATTTATAGAAAGGGTAGAATTCAAGATACATATGCAAGTATGTGTACATACATATACACATAAATACATCAATAACATAGAGTTATATAGGCATTACATTATTAGCCACATGCATCCAGCAGGTTCATAAATACTGGGGAATGTTTTAATCACAAATTGTATACTCTGATTTACTATTTCTTTTGCCAGCATTACTCTCTTTAGAGAGTAGCAAACTATATTTCAGGCAAACAATGTTATATTGCCTCTTAATGAAGTATGTAGCTATACCAAAACACAAGGAAAAAAGGAGAATTTTCTTATTTTTTTTTTTTGGTCAAGTTTCAGCTGGACTAATTTATTGATCCACTTTGAAAATAAATTGCTATTTTAGCATACATGCACAGATACAGGGAATTTTCACTGTGTTTGGACATAGTAGCATATCAAAGCTCTATTAGTGACACCCTGAATCAACTATCTCCAAAGCAATATATGCATATTAAGTTCAGGCTGCTCATTAATGACCCTCAATTTCTTTTAACCTTAAATTTTAAAGAAAAATTATGATTACAGAAAATCTAAGTTTATTAATTAAAATGAGATCATAATCATTTCCAAGGAGGCATCTGAAATTTTTTGCATTGAGTATTCCTGAGTTAACATTACATACACAATCATCAAAACAGTGAATCTTCATTTTCAAAGCAGTATCTTAAGAAGCAAGTCATTACTTTCATTATGTGAACTGAGACATTTAAGCTAACTTGACACGTTTGTGCATATAAATTAATGTAATGAAATAAAGGAAGGTGATGGTATAGCTATGTTTTTACTCACCAGTTGTTTCCACAATGCCTTCTAGAATGACGACAATCTCGAACTGTTCAGTTTGCATGCTTCTCTGGGACAGATCATAAAAGGGGCTTTTGGCATCGATCACGTGGCAAATCGTGAGAGGGGAAACAAGAAAAAGTTGATCTGCCCCTGTGCTAAAACCTACATCCAGTTCAAGTTGGTCAAGGGGAAGGAACTCACCCTCAGGTGTCTGCCGAGACTAGACAAGCACACAGAAAAAGAGAAGAAATCACCACTTGCACTGAAAATTTCAAGGCAGTCTTAACAGTAATTTACATCATTGCCTAAATTCTGCACTATCAATCATTAGCAAAAAATCCAAACAATGCATTATGCAGCTATGTTCTAGCAAATGGGCCGAAATCCCACATAGCTCATGTGGAATATACATGCATTATTTATAATATACAACTTACTATAATTACCATTCTCTAACTCATGAGATTTGGAGAAGTGCCTGGTCCAACAATGGCTGTTAGTACAAACTAGGGAACGGAGTGTTCATGTGCTACTGGTTGCATACATCGCTGCAGGAGAGCTCACTGCATGCCAGATTTTTTTTCTCACAAAGCAAATAAGTAGGGGATTATTACAAGTTTGCTAAAGCTGTTAAAAGTTGATCAGATCATAAGAACTCTTCCAGGAATAGCGGGAAGTAACAATACTTTTGAAAAGTAAGAGATATAAATTAGAAGAGCAAGGCTATTATATTAAATTATGCTCGGTACACAACAGCTGATATACTAAAAATAAAAGTCACATGCTATTAGCTAATGTCTTTCAAATCCTAAATAACCTACATTAAATGTGCTTGCTTCTCTATTTTATTAATTTTAAAACATAGTGAATGTGCTAAGTGGGAACTTTTTTCCATCAGCAGTTTAAAAATCTGTATTGGATAAACAATTTACTAAAATTTGTAAAATAATGTAATTCAGTGTTAATGTAAATCACTATGAAACATAATTCAATAGGCTGCATATATGCTAAGAGTCTAAAAGAAAATGAATCATGACTACAAAAACTTTGAAGTCAGGAAAATAAACATCTTTTTTCTTTGTTTACATTTTTTTTTCTATAACTGTCACTTATAACCACCAAGTACTAACAAATATTTAATTTATGTGAGTATGCTGGTCAAATAAGGGCTAGGTTAAAACAGTTATACACCGAAAATTTTGAAAGGAGAGCCTTTTGGCTGGTCAATAAGGCATGGGAAAATATAATAAATTTTAATAGATCCTCTGAAAAATTAAGTGAGTATACAAAGCAGAAACTATAGAACTAGTCTCTCTATTAGAGTGGTAGTTTGAAGGCAAAATCCTCATTCTCAGAAATCCAAGAAATACTTCTGCTGTTCATGAAAACACTGCAAAATGCAGTCTAGTGAGATGATGCAAAAGAGAAACAAGGTTTTCAAATTGTGGATGGTTGGTCATGACTGCAATTTCTGCAGAGTCCCAGGAGCAAAATAAGCCAGTCAGAGGGCTTAGTTTGCAATTTGTGGTAGCCAGGAATTTTTTAATGTGGACAAAAATCAAAAGAAAATATTAAAATTATATTTTTCTTCACTACTTTTCGAGTAGGTGAAAACAGAAGAAAATGGTTACTGACAAGAAAGAAAAATCCATGGTTAAGTCTCATGGATCTACAAAAATAAGAATAGTAGACCTAACCACCAATGCTGGAGAAAACTAAGCCAGTAAGAAAAATTCGAACCTAACAGAAAAAAGCAGTGTTTGGAGCTTTCTCAAGCCACCTGCATTTCTAAATATTTTCTCAACTTACTGAAATATGTATGAGACTAGCATCTTACCAGCTACACAGATCTATAGCTAGTATTGATTAATATAACAAATTAAAGTCAAAACATCAACAAAATAAAAACCCAATGTTATTGTTCCTCTCACCTACTAAGAAACAGGTGCTATAGAAAACACAAGGTGTTATTCTGATGTTAATAAGTAATAAGCAGAATTTGAGATGTTTTTACTAATGATCCTATGCTCTGTTTTTTTCCTAGAGTAAATGAAAATACTCTCAACGATAATTCTTCAAAATGTATTTTTGAATTTATTTTAAAAGAATTTTGCCAAAGGAAGGTATCTCTTTGCGATTACTGTATATGTACCCCCAATTAAAAATTCATCTTCCTTTTGAGATGTTATGCATATCTCGGCCTCATTCTAAAAGGTGTTATAATGAGCTATAAAGTTTGTATACTCTCAATCATTCAACAACCCATGAAAAGAAGTGACCTAGAAACAGACAGATGATCAGGAAAATGCCAGCCTAGAAAAACCAACATGAAATTTTTAGCAAAGCAGTTAACTTACATATAAGTAATTTAGATTCAGTCTCCATATGCATTCTGATTTTAGAAATTTGTTCTGTATACTCAGTATTTTAACTCTATTCCCCTCCTCAAAATGGTTTTATTTTATGCAAGTCTTGGCAGAAACAAGGTTGACCATTCTAGGATACTGTGGGGAAAGTCATAATATTTCATTTCTTTGAAAGATGTTTTCATGCTTATCCATTTTTCAGGTAAGTAAAATTCTCTATATAATCACAGAAAAATATTTTCCATTGTACACAATATAATTTAACTTTTCTTTCAACAACTCTGAAACCCCACCTATATCTACAATTTGGTTTTTTTGAGTCTTCTATTGTTAGGACAACAAATAGTATCAGTCAATATGCTAACCTCCCTGGTTTTTGTTTGCTTCTCTAATCAACTGGGAAACCCATTAACTACTGTGAATTCAACAGAAAGCTTTTCTGTTTAGAGTAAGGGGTGTGGTTTCAATGTGGCAGGTGCTTGGAGCAATAGAATTGTTTGAACTCCTTATTGGAGCACAGTTGCCCAGTCTGTGCTCAGCCAAACACTTCCCATGTTCCAGAAACCAAAATATGCCTACCAAATACAATTTTATAATCATATACATGCTACTGTAGGTTTACAAAGAATTCTAATTAAGGGTTTTTAATTCTGGAGCAATGCCAGAGATATTCTTGAAGCAAAGGAGAGAAAAAGCGTGTTATTTTAAATTTTCTCATAGAAACTGAATGAGAGAATTTTGTTCAAAGAACTGTGACATACACATGTACATGAAAAGGAAAGACAGGAAAAAGTATGTGCCTTTATACGATTAAACTATGATAAATACCTTGAATATGTAACAGAGCATTAGCACTAATATTGCACCAGTTTCTAATTCTCTTACTTAGTTTTCAATTACCATATTTTACCCAGAAATTGTAATCGGCAGAAAAAAATATTAATTAAAATTCAATTTAGATTTTTTTTGTTATCATCTTAAGAAATATAAGAAGTATTTAATTAACAGAGCATTTTGTTGATGGTCCACATTATCTCCTTCTATTCTATAACTTCTTAATTCCAAAGGGAACACAAAACTATGGCCATTTCCTAGATCAAGACAACTGCTATTTTTAAGTTTGTTGAAGTTAATTATTTAAATTTCTAAAAAGTTAATAAACAAGGTTGACTTCTAATTGATGAAATAATCAGTTAGAATCATAAAAACTACTTAATAATTTAGAAAGTGTAAAAGAAGTAAAAGGAAAATCAGTTCATTGACAATGAGCAATTCTTTAAAACTTAAAATTTGTAACTTGACAGAAATGTATAATGAGAACTATGACCTGACAATGATTTTCATACAATCATTATTTTTAATTGTATGGAATCCTGAGGAAGAAACAGGATCTTTCTGCCACGTTACAGTCTATGATTGAATGCATTATAGCAAATTCTGGAAACAAGAAAAAATAATAAGGATGCCAAAGGCTTAAAGTTCTTTAAGTTTACTGTTCAGAAAATTACAACATCATGTATTTTTAAATGACTTTGTACAATTTAAGTTTGACATTAATTTCTAAGTTACTCTTCCTAATAAAAAAATTGTTATTTTAAGTACTACTTCTATTACACACATTAATTACATACAAATGGATATGTATATAGAATAAGAGCTTGCACCTCATTTTAGAGTCACATGTACTAATTTCAAAAAGCAACTATTGTCAAATAACTTTGAACTCCTTTAGAGTCCAAAAGACCCACAAGATAATAAATCACCATTCAGTCCACAGTTGGAAAAGAATTCAAATCTCATATTCACTGGAATGCACCTATATTTAGCACTGCCCTATCATAAGCCCATCCACATCTGGTCATTCTCCTGGAAGATTTGTGACCAGGTGCTCACAACCATTCATCAGGACACACTTCACCAAACAATTCTTTGATGCCTTTCCCCCATCTCTCTAACCCCTAATGCTATTCTAATTACAATTAAGTCCTGTTTGCTGGCTTGAGTGAGGCTAGAGAAAAATTTGAATAAACCATTTAGTCACCAACATTGACTCATGAGATTTACCTCTCTCATACTGTAGTGTTGATTGAGCCTCTCTACCTCCTACAAGTCTCTTCTAGAAAATCCAATTCAGGGCCAGTGCTCAGGATAGCAATGAGAGGGGAGGGGCTCATATGAGAAAGACAGCTGTTCCTGCCTAGCACTTTATTTGTACTTTTACTTCTCCTCTTTCTTTAATGTACAATGGTTGTGTTTAAGAGTGTGTGTGCGTGTGTGTGTTAAATATATGTTGAAAGAAAAATGTCTAATGGGTTCAGAACACTCTCTGGAAGTTAAATTAGAAAATGAGCCGCTAGCAGATATCAAGATAAGGAACATAAAATGCCTTCTATACTCAACAGCCGTGATGGCAATGGCTCAGGCACTTTGACCAAAGTCAAGCAAAGGGGCAAGTAGACCTAATTTTATCTTGATTGTCTATAATTAAGCTTCTTATGGCCACAATTTGGCCTACCATTATAATTCTTTGACTCTTTAAGATGGAAGTTCCATGAGTCCTAAGTGGAAAAAAAATATGACCAAAATCAAGTCTAAAATATTTTTAATGTTAAACTGATTATCCCATAAAATTGTGTTCATTTAGAAAGTACCTTATAGAATGGAATGTAATTTATCTTGTAATAAATTATGTAAGGTTTTTATTGCATTCAAATGAAAGAACAACTTTATAATTCCTTGAGGGCCTTTTATAGGATTTATAATAACTGTGGGCAGGATTTGTAACCCTCTTTGCACATTCCCCTCCTACTCACTTTCTCCTGCTTCTTTGTATCACTTGTTCTTACCTACTGCTGTTTATTTATGGGTCTTTATGTCCCTTATTTCTGTTCACACTGAGCACAAGGCACCCTGTACCTTTCAGGAACCAGGTTAAAAAAAAAAAAAACAACTCAACAAAACAACATATTTACTATTACTTTTAAAAAAGAATCATAATTATAGTTTTCAAGAGGAATTCAAGTTCTATAACTACTGAATTTATGTCAGGAAAAGCAAAGTCAAACTAGAGGCACTCTGGATTGTGAACCCATTCTATAATGAAGACACCTATGAAAATTCCTGACCACTAAAGGATCTAGGCCCAAGAGTAGTTCTGGGGTCAGTCTTAGACTCCTTAAATATTTCTACGAAAGGCTTGTATAATTATATTATATACTAAGTGCATTCGCTGATAAGCTTATTAGCTTATATAATTTTATATATATGTATGTGTATATATATATATATATATAATTATTTTCATTTATATTCATTCGTGGATTTGATTTTTAAAAGGAGATAACTGTCTCAAGTTTAGTATTAACATGAAGACTGGCCAAGATCAATTGGTAGTCAGAGTCAGTAACAGAAAATAAATTCACGTAGAGTTAAAAACAATCATATTCAAGTGTAAGGTATGGAATGAAGACAAATAAATATATGAAAAAGCATTAAGGGATCATGTGGTTAAGACGTTAACAAAATGTGAGAACATAAGAAGAAAACAGAGAGCTTAATGGTTTTGCAGACAATAATTTTGTTTTTATTGTAGTGGCACTTGATCTGTATGAGCAAATTACAGAGCATCCAATTTTAGTTCTCCATATAAATGGAGTATTAAAAAGTGATTACAAAAATAATGTATGTGGCACATTAGAAGAGTAACGCCAATACCTTTCAAGAAATTAAAATTATCAATTACACAGATGACTTCTTCGGAAAGAAAATTGATGAATATTTGCAACGAATAAAAATAAAAATAAAATTATACTTCCATGAAAAAAATTATCTTTGTCTCAATTTCAAAATTTAGATGCAACATTAGAAGAGCTGATCTTATGTTTACTTTATGCAAATTAGATCTCACTGAATGTCTATCAGGCTTCTGCATAATAAGCTAATTCAAGCAAATTCTTGAATACTATATCAAGAATATTATTTAAGTATTCTAACAAGATGTAATTCTAGGGCAATCACCTATTAAAATCAGACTTGACAAAAGTCATTGAAATTTCTAAATTCTTCAAGCCCAGTGCTATATATTAGAGTCCAACATTTCAGCCAATAGATTCAACTCTCTGACCCTGACATTTTTTACTAAAACTTTCAACTGGATGATATATTAATTTAACTATGCAACTCAGTCCCTATTTTCTAGGTTAAAAGAAGAAGACTAAAAAAATTGCAATTTCAAATAAAACAATATAAGGATAAGAAAAAGAAAATCGAATAATTGAAAGAGTTTCTATAGATATCTATAAAAAATGAAAAATATTTGCAAATCATATTCTTTAATTTTTATTCAATCTGCTTTCTTTTATCAGCAGAAGAAGAACCTAGTAACTCAGGCAAAGAGTTTGAAAATATTATCAAAATACCAAAATTTCAGTATGTGCACACTTGGAAGACAGGAATAGAGTTGAAATAAAAGTAACTTTTATATAAGTAACTACAAATCAAAGCGTAAGCAAAGTTTTTTTTTAAAAAGCTTCCATCATAACTTAGAGAATTCAAAAGACACATGCATGGCAAATTTCGTCATACCAAGGATTAGTAAACATACCCATGTTCTTACTTGTCTTCTCAAGAACAGGAAGTGCTATAAAAGCATTAAACAGAACTCCTATGATACTGAAAAATGAGCTTTTATTCAGCAAATCAGAGCAACAGTAATTAAATTAAATAAGCTAACAGGAAAAACAAATTATCTATAAAAATCAAACCTCCTGTTTGCCTTAAAATGCTTTATAGTTCTCTATATTAAAGATACCTAAATTGTATCTTTTAATGTCAAATGAAGGTTAAAAGAAGAAAGTAAACATGTAACATAATTAATAAGAATGTATAAGATTGATATCAAAGTATCATTACTTTAAGATTTGGCATAGCTTCTTTTTAAAAAAATATAGTTGACTGTTTTAGGTCACTTCATCTCATTCCCTATGAGAAAAAGGGAGACACTTATAAAAGGCAAATCTGGCCTCTAACATTGCTGAATGTTATTAGTTGCCTAGAAAGACATAACTCATCTTTAATGAAGTCTAAAGAAATGACAAGAATTACAAAAATTTATTTTAATTACCATGGCTACAGGAAAAATCAACTTCAAACAAACTGCACTAACTCAGTAGTTGAAGGGTTGTCACTGATCAACCTTTTTGCTTTCACAAACAGCAGGAGATAATCTCACAATAGTTTTGTTTAAATATAAAGTGGCACCACATGCCAGTCATATTTACTTTTAGCACTGACATCTTGCAAGCCAATAAAAAGTAAAAATAAAAATGACAGGAACATATTTAAACTTAATCGTTTTTCTCACCTTGTGTTAATATAGCACCTTGCTTCAGATTTTTCAATACTATACACTGTTTTAATCAGGACACTACTTAAGCATGAAAGTCAATATCAGAGTACTGAACAATTGCAGGGACTGAGCACTTCAGATTAGTTGTATCTTTGTAAAGGATATATTTTGCTTATAAAACAGGGTTATGTTTTCTTATAAATTAATTCTGGTTATTACTGATTTTATAAAGATAAAATTTGATAAAATGTAAAAATATCTAAAATTTATGGTCTTGAAAAGATATTTACTAAATCACTTAATAGGTTTAAGAGAGTAGAGGTCAACAATAATTGACTGTTACAGACTAATTATGAATTTCCAACTGACCAATCTAAATGCAAACTACTTGTCATTAAGAATCTTAAAGTGACACAAAAACATTGGTTCCTTGTCAGAGACATGGGCAGTGCATCAGCAAAATGTTCATATCTTCCTGGAAGGCCTACCCTAAAGAGGGGTTATATATTTTTGTCTATCCATAAAAGATGGCATATGTAACAAATAACACTGCAATAAATATGTCTCCAAGACAAGTGTTCAGCCTGATCCAATAACTTGCTTAGTTCAACAGTACTCCAGAGCACAATATGCTAGGATAAACAAAAAACCTTAGGCAGTTCACTGAAGTTAATTATAAAGATAAGATCTAATCAAATTAAATAAGCAAAGTTATCTTAATGAGCTTGTTCATCAGAAACAGACTGAATCTGTGCCATTAGGTTACATGAAATTCAGTTTACTATTGTGTGTAATATAGTAAATATGCACATGTTCTAACAACTGAATTGTTAGAATCCTAATACTTTACTCAACAATACCTCACAAATAATTAGGAAAAGGCCCATAAGTGAATAATTGTAATTGACACAAAAGCCAAACTATTTTAAATCTTTAAGTCTGATTATGGCTCTCTGTGCAATGTTAGGGGAAAAAACAATACTATCTATTTTTTAGTGTATATTTGAACACCATCTCTGGCAAATCTCTCAAAAAGAATTGTAAATTAAACACACCCAGAGAACTGGGCTTTTATTCCTCTTTCCCAGACTCCAATTGGGTGAATGCTTATGGTGGGTTTCTTGTCTATAGTGGTGCCCCCTAAGGGCTATCTGGACCTTGCTCTAATAACCATTCCATGTGCCATTTGTTTTAGCATTTACACTGCTGATGGTAGGAAGCAATCTTCTTTAATGGATGCTGAAAAGCTTCAAGTGAAATCTGTAATTGACAAAGGCTTCATAGAAACAGGCAATTAAGAATAAAATTAACAAGAGGCTCTACAGGAAAAGCACTCAGAATATTTCTCTGGGAAAATATTTAGTAAAAATAAAAATTTAAAAGAATCAGGTGCTGTTTCTTCCACTTTATTAACTGCTTCCCAGCTCTATGTTCTTGTTAAAAAGACCACAGATAGAGTCAGAGTTGATATTACTGAGTCTAGAGGAAGAATCCACCTGCTGATGTTATTAGGCTGAAAAAGAAAATCCCTAAAGTGAAAGCTGAGGCAAGCTCAGCACCTAATTCTTCAAAATAAAGGCTGTTGTTTTCAGCCCCTCCTGGTTAGTGGCGTTGTATATATTTACAACAAATCAAAAGTGTTCTTAAGAGCAAAGTCACAAAAGTAGGATGAAATGAGGCACTCTTTTACCTTAAGTCACCACGAGCCAACACCTCTCAGGAGTGTTACTAATCCAGAAAGTGATACAAGCCCATCCGAATAATGAATATAAATAAGCGCGCGAGAGTCGGCAGTTAAAGAGCAGAACTGTCAGAGGCGCTCCCAGTGCCTAATCCCCCCACTCACCCCTACTGTAAAATAAAGACAGTTTACCTGTAGCTACAGGTAAGGCTAAGGGGCGGGGGGTGGTTCTCAGGTGCGTTAATTCCAGCTCTGCTTGTAGGCGGTGGCCAGGTGGGGAAGGGGCGGGTAGCACTTACTTTTAGCAGCTTACAGCGGATCTGCGCGGACACCATGTGGCTGTTGCGCAGGTTGCCCACCCTGAACATGAGCGTGAGTTTTCCATCCCTCATAGAGATCACCGCGTGCTCGCTAAACATAAGGGTCTCCGCGCGCTTCTTTGGCTGGGACATCTTGATGAACATGCAACCAATGAGGAAGGCGTCCACGATGGAGCCGAGGATGGACTGAAAGAGGAAGAGGATGATGCCCTCGGGGCATTTGTCTGTGATGTAGCGGTAGCCATAGCCGATGGTAGCTTCAGTCTCGATAAAGAAGAGGAAGGCGGAGGGGAAGTTATAGACATTGGCCACGCAGGGCGTGTAGTTGCCGACGTGGGCTTTGTTTAGGTCGCCCCGTGTGTAGGCGATCACCCACCACATGGACGCCATGAAGAGCCAGGCCACCGTGTAGGTAAGAATGAAAATGAAGAGGTTCCAGCGCCACTTGAGGTCGACCAGGGTGGTGAAGAGGTCCGAGAGGTAGCGGCTGGTTTCGCTGCCCAGGTTGCCGTGTTGTACATTGCACCGGCCGTTCTTGTCCACGAACCGCTGCCGCTTCTTCTTGGGTACAAGCTGCTGCTGCGGGCCCTGGCCGGGCCCCTGGGGCTGCAAGCCCGAGCCGCTGGACGAGGTGGTCACTACCTGGTAATCGTCCCCAAATTTCCTTCGGAGTGCAGACATAATACGGAGGGGCGAGCCAGATTCAAACACGAAGCGAAGGCGCAGGAGCCGAGCGCTGCAAACCAGCACCAATAAGAAGGTGGGGGCGGGGGAGAAAGGGGGGGACAAAAGCGAGCGCGCCTGGGGTGGGGGGCGCACCCAGCAAGTATCTGCGGTCTTTGGCCCCTGCGGACGCCTATCCTCCCCTGGGACGGAGGCTTTCTCTCCTAGCAGAGTCTTTTAAAAAGTGTCCTCCGGCACTCAAGGCAGGAGGGATGCAAGGACCAGGAACCCAAACCCAATTTTGCCTCCAAGCTTTTCGAGGTTTCTCTTTTCTTCACTCATCACCGGCACCCCCAGTCACCCTTTCCTTTCCCTTCCCACAGCCCTTCTAACTACCCTGAAAACCTACCAAACTGTTTCAAAATTAATGAGTTGATAAGCGAGTCCCAACCCACCTGCCAACTCGCCAGGCTGCAGAAGCTGCGCTACCTGCTTGGACCAAACCCTCCCCCCTCCC